CCCCCCCCCCCCCCCCCCCCAGACCTCTGATACGTGCCGGCAAAATAGTAATTTATGATAATACGGTGTAATCACAAATTACATTATTCGGTGGCAAGGAATGTTCAGTATTTCCATGAAAAATTGGTCTAACCTGTGCGATTTGTTTATTGCGTCTTGCTTTTCGTGGCAAAACACCAGAGTAAGCAGCAGCTGGTTATTTTCGTCTTTTCTGTTTGGAGGAAAAAATAAGTTGGCTTTAAAAAAAAATACAAGTAATTTGCATTCAGAGTATCAAGTTCATCTCTCTACGAAGTGTCTACAAGCATCCTGAAAACGTTTCTTGTAGGGACTTCAGTATAATATGGACATGTGCGGTCACCCTTTCACTCAGACCTAGACCCTTTCAGACCTGATAGCGGTAGATTTCGTAATTCCGTGAACCATCCAATCTTACCTAAACCTTAAATGGTCCAGAGTCATGTTTAGCTCCTGCAGCTAGTTCTCGGGGTCCAATTCTTGGATTACTTGCTCGGCAGACCTATGCCTCTTCCCTTTAGCAAGCGAACCCTGTCTGCACCCTGAATGGAACGATGCCGACAAAAAAAGCCACTATAACGAACGAGATACAGTAACATATATAGTATATAGTAACATAATCTTTCCCTTAAGTAACTCTAAAAAGTGTATAAAACGCAAAAGTAGAGAAAAAACAAGTCGAAAAAAACAAGTAACGTAAAATCCCCGCGTTTCGCTCGCTCTACTATCCCTGAGGAAAAATGAGGGACTACTCGTAGTCTACCAAAAAGGGGAACGGGCGTTATTTCTCGAATGAAATGTGTTAGTCACTAATGTAGGAATATGTAAATGAAGATAAAAGAAATCGTGAACTAACCTAAGAGCAAACGCCGGACAAATAGGTGTATATTATTGTGTTGTAAGCGTAACCCATATCCGACAAATCCTTGCAGAAAGCCCTTAGCCTGTCGGGAGGAACAGGAAGGACTGGCTCTCCAGGGAAAACGGCATCATGCCACGTTGTATATTGGTCCCGTGCTCTCATAGTAGCATCCATCTAAAAATAACACCATGTTGTTACACTTGTTGTTGCCACATCCTGGCACTACATCAGAAACTGGAAAGCGAACACGACTCATCACCCAACGGACATGGATAATTAAATAAGCAGTTGAATTAACAAAAAAATAATTGATTTGAAACCAAACACTGAAGCTTACAGAAAGGCAGATAAATAGTAGTCAGCTGACGAAGATTTTTTAGTGTAACAATTAGTTTGTTAATGGAAGACCTATCTAAGAGAAAAAGAATTCGTTTCTTGTAAGACCATTTTGGAAAATATAGTGCTGAAGGTTTCCCGTAGACAGCTCGTTCGGGCATTTTTCCCTTGGAGTACACATCTCTTGCTGTTGTCTCTTTTAACTCATTTCTGACAATAATAATCAGCAGCTCCGCCAGTCTCGTGACTTTTTTTACAGCAACCAGATTTCTCTATTGGCTTGCTCTTCCCAAAGCAATATTCATAGGGAAAAAATAACGTCTCCTTTGTTCAAGTACTACATTTTTTATTTCAAGTCATCGTTTAAATATCCTTTTCAATGGATATATTCCAGAATACTTGAAAGGTATAAAAAAATTTCAGCTGTCTGATTTTTATCCAGGAATCATTCCATTTTTTTCATCTCTTTTACAACGACTTTGATTTTGTGATATTCAGCAACAAAGCATTCTCCATTCTGTGGTATGTTGGTATTCTCTGTCACATTCTGGGCACTTTCACTTTTTCACTGAAGAGAACTGCTGCAGCTTGTGCTTCAAGAAAGACATATTTCTTTACAAGCTTTTCTATGTATCAAACAACTGTGTCTGTGACATGGCACCACTGTTGGAAGGTTCCAGTTTATTTGAGCTAGCAGTACTGTTTAAGGATTCCATCATTTCCATGCCAAAAAAAACCATGGCTGCATGTACTATATACGAGGACTATATTACGCCATCAGAGTCTAGTTTTATGCTGAGCGAGACTCACTGCGGTGGTGTTGATTGTTTAGCGAGTTCCCTTTTGAGTCGACAAAGCTACGGGCCTGGATAGTATTTCTACAAGGCTTTTACTAGAAGCTTGTCCTGAAATCGTGCCCTCTCTCACCCATATAATTAACTTATCCATTAGGGATGGGTATTTTCCAGACGAGTGGAAAATTTCCAAAGTATTACTATATCTATTCTACTAGTTATCAGTAAAATAATCGAAAAGGTTATTTTCAAACAACTCTATGAATACCTAACTCACAATAATCGTTGGACGATTTGGCAACCAAGGCATTGCGCACATCTCTCTCTGCTTGAATATCGATGCCAGGCCACCAGACTGTTTAACTTTAGTGATTCCTTGGTGCCCCTCATGTGCTAGCTGAAGAATGCATAGGCGCAGTGTGCCGCAAATTACAATACGACTGTTCTGCAAAATAAAGCCGCGTTTCTGGCAAAGTCTTTCCTTTAGACCAGAAAAGGGCGCTTGTGCAGCTGACCAGTTCCCAGTGTCCAGGCACTCCTTGACAGTTATCAAAGTAGGGTCTGATTTGGAAGCAAGAAGAAGCTCCTGAAGAGTGATGGCAGAAGGAAGGGAGTCAACTACGATGGAGTTAACGTAGTCCTCAACAGGATCTCTAGGTGTATTGGTTGTGACAGGTTTGCATGACAGGAAGTCGACAGCATTTTGGATGCCAGGATGGTAAACAATGCGTGGGCTGTTCAGTGTGTGAGAGACTGCGGCTTGCATATGCAACACGGCGGATAGAACCATCAGGGTGCTTCCGAGTCAAGGTACCATTGATCCCAATCCAGAACCGTGTCACTAGATATGAGGTCATGCAGCTTGTTTTTAAGGCTTCAGATTGCTCTAGGCCCCATGACCATGAACAGTCTTTGTGTGTGATCCTTCGTATTGGCTCTGTCGTAGTAGCTAGGTTTGGAAGGAAATGGGCGACGGTATTTACAAATCCCAGAAAGCTTCTTGATTCCGTGGCTGTGCTGGGCGGCTGCGTGTGCTTGATTGCATGTATACGATCCTTGTCTGGGGATATACCTTGTGCTGAGATGTGAAATCCACAATAGTCCAGTTCGGTGACGCCAAATAAACACTTGGCTTGGTTGACTGTGAGGTTTTTCTCTTGGAGAAGTAGCAATACATTTTCTAGGGATCTGTCATGCTCTTCCTTAACATAACATAACATAAAACTTTATTTATACTCGAATTTTAGAGTAGCTAACAAGGTAATATGAATTGTAAATAATATTTTCTTTCTTTGTTTTTTTTTAAGTTTAAGTATGTTAGGCAAAAATAATTTACGTGAAGGTAACATCCTGTATTTTGGTCTTAAAGTCTGTAAAAAAAACTTGTACGAAAAAAGTCCGGCAGTGCATTCCACTGCTCAGCTGAAAAGTAAGGAAAGGAGTTAAGACCATAGGTAGTTGTTTTAGGTTTGAGCCTTGGTGGTACCATGGACGAGAATGTCGTCAGCAATGTTCCTTACATTATGGCATCTCCCGAGAAATTGCCCAATTACGTGTTCACATATTTCAGAGCCTTCTGATGCTCCACATGGTAAACGCTTGTAACAGCAGAGGCCAACGTGTGTTTTGAATGTTGTCAGGTGACGAGACGATTCAGCAAGTTCAATTTGGTGATAGCATTCCGTAAGATCAATTTTGGAAAAGAACTTGGAGCCGTTTAGGTCTTGGAGAGTTTCTTCGGATGTTGGGTATGGGTGGTGTGCACGGCGGGGAGCTTCGTTGGGCTTGCACATGTTTACACACAGTTGTTTGTCACCATTCCGCTTGTCGACAATGACGAGTGGTGACACCGATGTTGTCGGGCTGTAACCTATTCGATGATATCTTGATCTTCAAGCTGTTTCAGCTTGGCTTCCACATTGGCATGGTAATGTAAGGGTGTAGGACGGGAATTTTGTACAACTGGTTGTACAGTTGAGTCAATGTTGAACTCAAGTTGGTAATCATTTAGTTTCTCGATTTTGCCACTGAACACTACTGGAAACGGCCGTAAAAGGTACTGGTATTCACCGTATACAGGTGAATGTTCAGTAGTTGTAAAGGCCGCGATAGGCAACATTCCTAGCTTGGTTGAGGTTTCACGACAGGAGACAGCTAGCATTTCGTGCTTTGAGTACCAGGAACCTGGTCAGATCCATCTGCCCTGACGGAGTATTGATCATTCCGAAAAACGATCCAGCGAGGGGAATCGGGTCAGGGTTGTCTTCTCCATAAGGGTGAAGTTTCACATTGGTTGGTTTTAAGGGCACTGTTTTTGCAGCACTGATCGCCTGATATGTTGCATAGTCAATGGTGTTCGCTGTTGCACCAGAATCAATAACTTGAACTGGGGTACCTTTAATGGTAACTGTGATGTCTGCTTTTGCTTGGTTAGGGTTGAGATGAAATGCCTCGTGACATTCATCCTCATCTGAGGAATTACAAACCTTCCGGGCCTTGGGTATCTCTGCCTGTTTGGCATTTGGGTGACCCGGATTTGAGGTCCTTTTCATACATACGTGTCCAAAATGGTGTAGGATTCCGCACTAAGAGCACGTCCTAAGAAAAGCAGGGCATCTGGGAGTTCATCGCTGGTGGTCATGCTGGTTACCGTAATGTGTACATCGTTGCTGCTTCTCCGAAGGAAAATTCGCTTGATCTTCTTCACTGACGGTTGGCATTGTCAGTTGGTGAGTATTTTCCGAGCGTTCCTGGGATGAGGCATTCTCAATGTTAACCGCCTGAAAATTGGCCAACTCCATGGAGCGAGCAATATCCAATAATGAATTCAGAGAAGCAGTGGATTTTTCGCGAAGGAGGCATCGACTAAGTGTGGTGGAATGACAATGTTCAATTAACTGGTCCTTAATAGCCTCGTCGAGAGAGTATTTATCAAAGTCACAATGCTCACCCAGTCAGCATAGTCGTCTGACGTATTGAGCAATTGATTCGTTTTGCACTTGATGAGCCTGGCCAGAGGTGTGTCTCGAATTGTAAGCTCTTCTGAGCAGAGAAGTGCGTGTTTAGTGAAGTAAGCGCCTCCTCTGTGTAAGTAAGAAAAATATATGATTATTGAAACCCACTACCGACAAAGGCATTTAAATGGTGACTTAAACGTTACTGATAATAGTGAACAATTGACTCGGGTGACTAACTATAGATATCTGGGAATAGAGGTTGACAAGGCATTGGGGTGGCAATCCCAAGTAGATACCACCACCTGTAAAAAGATATCTGCTGGTACAGGGACCTTAAAACGTATTCGTCCCCTGGTGCCTCGGCAAACCCTACTGAGAATGTATGAGGCTTTAGCGCTCCTTATTTTGATTATTGCTCTGAAGTTCTGGGATGTACGGGAAAAGGCCTGTGTGACAGACCTCAGAGATTGCTAAATAGGGCAGGGAGAATTAACGTACATTATGTCAGCGACGATTTATAAGATTTCTTTGATTGTTTTCCTGTTGGTTTTTAAACTCACTTTAATCTCTCCTTCCTGGACTCCATTCTTCTTTCTTTTCTTCCTTGGAAGCTCCAGGCTTTCTTTCCTCGGAGAAAATCGCTTTAGATATACGTTTCGCCATTGCTTTGTGAAACTTTCCACACTTTCCTTTTGTGCATGGTGTGAATGCGTCTTTAGCAGTTTTTGCAAAGGCGAAAAGACGGCTTATGTTGAACTGTACTCTGGAAACCTTCTCTAAGTTTTTGTAGTACTGCTGTACTAAGTCGGAAAAAACCATCGTTTGGAGCAATGTACTCCCCACAAAGTAGGCACGACTTACTATAGTTATTCGGGTTATTAGCGTGTACGTTTTCAGAAGGAAGAAAAGCCGAGGAAATCGGTGGCTTATTTTCCTTTGGCAAATTTTTGGCCATATTAAAATCAGGAAAATAAGAATCAAACGCGCCAGCAGATCAGAGTTGATCAGACCTGACGATTAATTTTGCTTGTGAATCGCGTGACGAATTTCGCGCATGCACGATGGAAAACTGAACGGTTGTCGGCAGAGGCTACGTTTTGCACACCAGCTCACACAGCGAAAATGTAGCCTCTGCTCGCAGGGTAACCCTGTAATAACACTGTAAATTGAAAAAGGGAGACTGATTTGGCCCAGTAAAAACCTTGTAAATCGAAAAAGGGAGACTAGTTTGACCCAGTAATAACATTGTAAATCGGAAAAGGAAGACAGATTTGACCCTGTAAAAACCTTGTAAAAAGAAGAAAGGAAACTGGTTTGACCCTGTAAAAACTTTGTAAATCGACAAAGGGAGACTGAGTTGTCCCCGTAAAATCGAAAATGGGTCCTGATTTTGGCCTTGTCAATTTCTCAGCAATAAGTGAGCTATTCACACACCTTAGCTTATTCACACACCTTAGAAATATCTGGACTGTAACAAATCATTTTAAAACTTAAAACAATCAATGCTTCAATTATAAATTATATCTGTAATTACAAAGGGAAAATTTATTGTATAACCATTATATTATATCAACTTATGTTGATGATAAATACATCCATTTCAAAGTATTCCACTTCAGTATAGTTGACTAAAATTATTACAACTATCTTTTTATTATCCAAAAATCAATAAACAATCTCTGTTTTTTCAAACTGTGACCAAATTGTCAAACCATATTATATCAAATGATCTGTTTGATTATAGATACATCCATTTTAAATAATTCCATTTCAGTATAATCAACTATTATTATTATTATTATTATTATTATTATTATTATTATTATTATTATTATTATTATTATTATTATTACAACTATCTTTTTATTATTCCAAAACTAAATAGACAATCTCTATTTTTTCAAACTGTGGCCAAATTGTCAAACCATTATATTATATAAAATGATCTGGTTGATGTTGAATACATCCATTTCAAATAATTCCATTTCAGGATAATTAACAATCATTATTATCACAACTATCTTTTTATTATTCCAAAAATAAATAAACAATCTATTTTTTTCAAACTGTGACCAAATTGTCATGGCCTATTAATTCTTTCTTGTTTTTTCGTTGCACTAATTTCTTTTCAAACAGGGTCTGTCCTAAGGACGGTAGCAAATCCTCTTTGCTAGAGCTGCTCTTATAATGTAACATCATATAAGTAATATAACCGTATAGATGTATTACAGAACAGTACTTACAAAGTCACTCTCCAGCAACTTTAACTCATTTACTTTCATGGTTTGTAGTCTTGCCTGCTCGTAATCTGACAATTGCTACATTGATGATCAATACAAATCAAATCATATCATTATACATGTATGGTTACAAGTGTTTACAAAAGGCATACCTGCACAACATACAGCATTCATATCCACCACACAATAATGCCAAGTTTAAATGTAAATTCGTATTTTATGTAGCCCTTGTTAAATGATGCTTTCTACATGTAGGACTCTGGTGCATAGAGACCCTCCCCAAATTCATTAAAAATAATGGTAGCCTTTTGCATTCATAAATGGTGCCCAGTTTCTTTTTATGAAATAATGCTCCGCTTTGGGAAATAAATATTGTATGGTGCAAAGTCAACTGCCCATCAGTTGTCACACAATGAAACTAACTTGAGAAGGATGGTGCACCTTGTTAGTACATGTATTAGTATTATTATTACCACACTGGATTGGAAATTGATAATTAATAAGATGTTTAACGATTCTGTAGCATGAACGTGATTCACTATATTAGAAAGAATATATTTATCAGGGCATGGCAGGTTCCTAAACAGACCTATTTTTCTAGCCTTGAACAACTGAGAACAAAAGAATGTTTAATTATTTTCCTCGTGTACCATGTAAATGTTGTATAAAGTAACACAGAAAAAGACAATGATTTGTAAAGGTGAAACAGTAAGAATGGAATTTAGGAAGAAATATTTACACACCATTTAAAGGAGAAGGCCAACCTTTTAATCGATAGGTACAAAAAGGTTTGCTCTGGTCTCTGATTCCCCTTCTCTTCCAAGTCCATCCTCTTAAGCCAAAGAATATAATCCCTTATTTTCAAGACTTAGTTTTTGTTAATACTGTGTTTAAACGGGAAAGTTCCTTTTAAGGCAACTGTGATCTAGGGTCGCTTCTGTGGTCGAAAATGTGACAGCAATTTTTCAAGTTCAAGAAGTTCTTTATCTTGGTCTCCAAGTATCTCCTTCATTTTTCTCATTGTCAAACAGTACATTTCACCAAAGATGTCACTTCCAGTAGAAGGCTTGTCACCATTTGACAATTCTGGCACAACATGGGGATATTTTTCCCTGTATTGCCTCCTTTCATTAACAGTCATTGCCTCATGCCTTGCTGACTCTGAAATGGAGTTCATGAAAGTTATGTAATAATTATTATTAGCCAAGTGAAAGTACCGTCCATTTAAACAATCCTATAGTCTAATTTGGGTATATTAATGTTGTGCAAGGTTTCAAAGTGACTCATAGGGCCGTTCTAGACAAACAGTTTTACTTTAATTTAGAACCTACATGTCATTTGAATATTATGGATACAAATACACCTCTAGGAAAATACACTACTAGTTAGTAGCTACTTAGCTACTACCAATTTCATTGGTAGTAGCTAATAGCGTCTTATGACTATCAACTACATATTTTAGGCCAAAGATAAGCAGGTTAAAAGGAGTGACTAGTTGACCTAGTTGCTGGGCACTTCTTTAACCTCATTTTAGACTAGATTTAGGTCCCAAGAGTGAGCAACATCGATTTTCTTCTATCAACATTAGTAGATCGTCAAGAGTAAATGTTGTGAGAATCAGTAAATTGATTACCAAAGGGATAATTGTTTGAACTTAAACCAAATTCTCTCAACTATTCTTACAATACAATACAATACAATATTCTTTATTTAACGAAGGTGACGTAATAATCCAATGAGTTATTTAACTTACGGCCTTTACAACAATACAAAATACACATATAAAAACAATGCCTAATCAGTAATATACGACTACAACAAGAGAAAAAATAGAACTAGACAAATGTATGGTTTAACATGGATATAAGA